CAGGCGTGAGTCACCGTGCCCGGCCTATACTTCCACTTTTGTAATTAAAAGCAGTAGGACTTTTCCATTTGTGAGGTTCAAGTAACTGTTCATGGAAGCACCTCAGAGCTGCTGAACGAACCCCACCGCCTGCCCGTGTCAGGAGTGGATGGGAGGGGGGAACCACACAGAGAGCGTGGCCCACTCATGCCGCAGGATGTGGGAGGAGGAGGAGGACGGGAGTGACCCCTCGGGAGCCGCTGTGTGACAGAGGACAGGACAAGATGTCTCCGTAGCTCTCACACTCGCTGGTAAGGTCTCCTGGGTGACATAAACCACGAACACTTTCCTCTAACCCTTCAGAGACAGAGGCCAGGCCAGAGTGCATGTGTAAAAAGCAGTGACAAGTGAAGTCAAGAAATGTCATTGAGCAGGGGAGAGCGCCGATTTGCCAAGGACGCCGATTTGCAGAAGTCAGCGATGAAAGGACACGGTGTCCGGGCGCGATGCCTCATGTCTGCCATCCCAGCACTGTGGGAGGCCGAGGCGGGTGTGACGACCTCAGGTCAGGATTTCGAGACCAACCTGGCCAACAGGGTGACCCCGTCTTTAATGAAAATACAAAAATCAGCCATGCGTGGTGGCAAGTGCCTGTAGTCCCAGCTACTTGGGAGGCTGAGGCAGGAGAATTGCTTGAACCCGGGAGGCAGAGGTTGCAGTGAGCCGAGATTGTGCCTCTGCACTCCAGCCTGGGCAATGGAATGAGACCATGTCTCAAAAAAAAGGACAGCACAGGTGTGGTGGCTCAGGCATATAATCACAGCACTTTGGGAGGCCCAGGCGGGTGGATCTCCTGAGGTCAGGATTTCAAGACCAGCCTGGCCAACATGGTGAAATCCCATTCCTACTAAAATTACAAAACTTAGCCAGGTATGGTGATGTGCACCTGTAATCCCAGCTACTCAGGAGGCTGAGGCAGGAGAATCGCTTGAGCCTGGGAGGTGGAGGCTGCAGTGAGCCGAGATGGCGTCACTGCACTCCAGCCTGGGCAACAGAGGGAGACTCTGTCTCAAAGGAAAAAAAAAAAGAAAGCACCAGCTCCCAAGCCCACAGAGACCAGGCACAACCTTCTCGTAAGAAACCGTGAAGCATCTTTGAAAATACAAATGACGCAGTGGCTGTGATTTTAAAGCCCACTGCTGTTTCCACATGCAACCGAAAAAAATCCGAACACTGCCTTGAATGAAGAAAGGAGCGTTTTTACGCTACTACTCTGCGAACAAGAAAAATACCTTCATTCAGTAAACACGAAGCTGAATTGTCTGTGCGCGAGGGTAATTCTGTTTAGTTCTCTCTGCCGTCAAACAACGGGGGCCCAGGGTTTACTAAGCGTGAAACAAGAACAGAAAATAACGGCGTCGGTCAAAGATGCTTTCTAAATAAAGCTCCTCTGTGAGATCCAGACGCACCTGCAGAAATCAAGCTTCGTTGGAAGCTTCATGTTCCACGTTAAAACGAAAAAAGCACATTGCAAACTGTGGCACCTTCCAATACCTGTAACTGACAAACTCATCCCACCTTCTAAATCAGCATTAAGTGTTCAAAAGCCACACAAAAGACGCACGTAGAAATGAGTAGGCATTTCTTTTTTTTTTTTTTTTTTTTT